TGTTCTTTACGAGTGTTGTAATTAAATTATTGAAATCAAACATATAATTTATACTTTTCCTCTGTTCATCGCTCCCTTCCCCCCATGTGAATGACAATGAAGAATTTGTAGCTTTGCCATTTGTTTTATTGTAACTTTCAAAGAAAAAAGTTGGAATTTTGTGAAGCAGGGCAGGGACTGATGGGTTTTGTGCAGATGAAGGGACTAGGAATTGGCCCCTCAAGCAATAAAAGACTGATTCAAATCAATGAATATGATCCTCAGGTTCTTGATTTTAGACAAGTGTCTCTTCTCACCTCTATCTAACCTTTCATCAGTAGTGTTCAAAGAATTATGGAACTTGGGACCATGTCCAGGCATGAGAGTTACCCTTCCTACAACTGCCCCGACTCACCGTTGCGGTGACGCATTAAGTATGTTTGGTAAACAATATTGACTAATTGAAGTGTACAATGACAAATGCATCACAAGATTTTAACTTCTTCTTCTATAATATAATATGATCAGATAAGGGCCAAACATATGATATATGTTACTAACAATGATAAGTGATTCCTGTTTTGTCTAGTACATCAAAAGGCTATATTTACATTGGTTTGTATTTGAAAACTGGGTAATTCAATTTGTACAAAAACATTTCAAAGAAATGCACCAGAATACTCACAATGGGGTGGGCCCCACTGTGTATTTAAAAAAAAAATTCGCCGGCCCCACATGGTGTGAGTATTCTGTGAAATTTCTGGTGTATTTGCTTCTGTATATGCAGCAGCCTTCTTGAAAACCAACGTTTGATGGAAATTGAGAATTTCTGTTGGTGACTCCCCAAGCAACCACCTAAACCTATGGTTCGGCAGTCGATATCTAGTCCGCGTGCACATCAACCAAGTCACTGAATATATCTCATCTCCTATTGGGCATTTTTGTTATTCTATCTGTGGACCAGACGTGTAGTATCAAGCTTTAAACACGTCAATAGATTGATGCCACGAATAACACTTTTATTTTTCATTTTCAAGCCTATAAATAGACTAGGCAAAGCACTTTTATGTTTCAGTTTCGAGCCTATAAATAGACAAGGCAAAGCAACTAAATTTATTTACCAGATTCCCATACAAGGTATTTTTTATTTTCATTTAATTGAAAACATGAATAAAACTATTTGTACAGATAGAATGAAGTGACGGGCATTTACCTTCCTAATGTAATGTGAAAGTGCTTTGCCTTATCAACATTCTGTAACGGAAGTGTAAACAACACTGTACAAGTATCAAGCTCCTAAAAACATTGCCAATACCATTGGACGTTTAATGTAGTCTGTAAAAAGTAATCTTGCATGACATTTTAACCGGTACTTAAAATTCATCCTTAAAAAGTACCAAACATAATAATGTTACTTGCACATAAGAAGTTACATAATTGTTTACATATAGATGGAGAGTCAAAAAGAAAATTGAGAAGGTTTTTTTTTTATTTGGTTGAAGAAATTCAGATCCAATCGTGTTTCATCACATCACGTATATGTAAACCATTATATAAATTATGTACATAAAGCACAACATGTACCAATTATAAGAAAGAAAATACCAGAATACAAAATTATTTTTAAATATTAATTGCCCATTAAACAGCTGTTCTAATGGACCAAGCTAAAGAATTGTAACGAGGCTTGGGTGTTGTTTCAAGTTCTAAACATTACCTTCTTGGAATGGCATCTAAAATTCGGCTTTCCAGCCATGAGAAAACACAAGACCCAGCTTTCGATTTTACACATTTATACATATATATGTCCGTAATGTATACCCGCTTTTCTGTAAAAGTTGTGCATACTAGGTCGTTTATGAATTTGGGTTATGTAATGTTATTCATCACTAATTGTGATCATTATTCAAGGGTTCACTACCATCTAAACTGATTATGAATAACATTATGTATTTGGCATGTAGATCTTGTTTGTGGACAAATTATCACACCTATACATAGTCCAACCAATTATAAGAGGGTCAATAGAGGATTTTTTTTCCTAGCGCAAGTGGATATCATGAAATTTAACCATAAATCTCGTCGATGGAGTAAATCATTTGCTCCTTTTTTCCGATCAATTGGGAGAGAATGGAATGATTTTTCCTTCATGAGAATCAAATTGAGTTATGAAAAAGAACTTTTACACTGTCAAATATAAGCATGTAACAAGCATAGTATGTTATCCAAGTAAAATATAATTTGTTTGAAACAGAAGAAATTTAAGAAAACATGTCCAAATTAGCTGTCATGACCATTTGACTGATGAATCCGGTCACAATTTAGGTAATCGACATTGATAAAGGCAAAGTCGTGTTTAAATTGTATCCCTTTATTGAGTTGGTTCCACATTTCTACAATGTTGTTCACACAATCCAATCTTTGGGAGTACTAAACATATTTAAATATTATGGATCCTATAACATAAATAATTAAGGGTTCTTTTTGATTGAATGAAATATGTGACGTGTTGTCAATTATAATACTAGATCAATTGGAACCAACTCACTAATATTGGATTGCGCGTTAAATAAATGAAAAATATTTATGAGATCCATAAGCTTTCTATCTTCACACGACATTGCTCCGCCTGACTTTCACTCATTATGAAAAATTTTCTACTGCTATCTCCCAAGGAATCCGAATGGTGTCTCAGTTCAATACGACTATGTTAAAATTTTTATGATTGCTTTCATAAGATGTGTTCATGTAATTAGTATAAATGAGATTATCTAGTAGACCGAGAAATTATTAAACTAAAATATATCGTTAATTTGTTTTATTGTTTGTCTCGTTATCCTTTTATAGTTGGAGTGTGTTTGATGCACATTTTTCAGGAGAATGCATTTTTTTTGTAATGTGACGGTGAATATGTGGTTGAAAAAGAATGAAAAGTTATTGATATGATGGAAAATATTATTTTATTGAAGAATGTGTTGTTGAAAATGAGTAGAAAAATGTGGCTCAAACAGATGCTAATTAAATTTCTAAGTCATCATTCAAAATTAAGAGATTATCCTCCACACTGAAAAGTTTTGATTAAACAAAATTATGGGTTTGCTAGGTGATTAACAACCAAAAACAAATAATAAAAAAGCAGAAGCCACCCTACAATTAGATAAGAACAAAGATCAAATAATAAAACACGAGCTAAGCAATAGGACAAAGAGTGGAGGCAATAAACCAACAATGGAAAATTAGACCAAATGACTTTGGTAGGAAATGACAAATATGACCATTATACATACATGAAGTAGCATATTTTATTTAATCATATACAATAATTTCTAAAATGTACTAGATTTTTTTTTTTTTTTTTTTTAATGTGGACCCTTGAAAATAATTGTAATAAGGTAGTTGTATACTAAAAAAATGAGTTGATATGACGTTATAGAAGGCTCATATTGAATGTATAATTAATAAAATTGATTAACCTTTTTGAATTTTGTCTTCCCACTGAGATGCCTTTTTATTAGTGCCACAAGAAAAGTTTGATGGGTAGGAGGTAGTTGATAAATTAATGCACTACTTATAGTTCAATCATAATAGCTACATATTTTTGGGAAGTGATAAAAAGTAAAAAGAGAATGATGATGAATATTTCAGTGTCTATGTGTCATATAAGTAGTAGTTTTTATATTTTTATGATGATTTCATTATAGAGGTTCTTGAATTTCGTAAAAAGATTTGGGATTAGATTATCATGACATGAGGCTAAGTTAAAAATGACAAATATGAGGGGGCGAAAAAAAAAAATCCCTTCAATTTCATACGACTGTCATGCTATGAAAATCTAGTTTTCTATGTGTCTATCGTGAGTTGTTCGCAACGGAACAAACATATTAAATATTGGTTATATGTTTTTTCTTTTGATTACCTGAATTGATTGTTTGTATCAAATACACTATAAATTTTTTAAACGTAAATATGCATTTTCTTATGATGAGCAAAATGTTAACGAATAAATATTTTTTAAATGTAAATCTACATTTTCTTGGACCGAGTATAAATTATTCAAAAATCAAGAATAAAGTTTTCGATTTGTATAGGGTTTGATTGTATCCCTAACTCAAAATGTGTAATTGTTGCATAAAAATCAGTGTAAACCAAATAAACACCCACCCCCACCCCTGAAAAGAGAGAAGAAAAAAGAAAAAAAAAATTGTTATATTTAAAGTGAGAAAATTGGAAAGAATTTTAGGACATATATATCATCTTTATATATATTCTACCTTTGATCTCATCAAAAAATGCACTTTAAAGGGTATCAAACTGTAAACTAAATAAACAGCCACCCCCACCCCTGAAACACACACAAACCAAAAGGAGAAAAGAGGAGAGAAAAAAATATTGTTATACATAAAGTGACAAAACTGGAAAGAATTTTAAGACATATATATCATCTTTACATATATTCTCCCTTTGATCTCATCAAAAAATGCACTTTAAAGGGAATCCTATGTAATACTGCCCTCTAAAATCCAAATATTCCTTTATATCTCCCTGTGTGAAATTAATGTGGTGGCTGGAGGGGTATGGAGGAGCGTGGTTCTGTCACTGTTTTTTTTTCTTTTTTTACAAGGCTTTTTACCTTTTTTTTGGTCATGGAAAAGATACATGCCCCTTGATATCAGCTTTTTAACCTCATTATTATTTTTTGTATTGACCATGTTCGTGGGTTCCTATAAAAGATTATAAAGTTGTAATGACTTGAATGCTAGTGGGCTGAGATCTTATGCTGAATGCAAGATGCCATCACTTTCACAGCGTTTTATTGATTTAAGTTGCTTATTCTATGAAACAAACTCTAAAAGTTACTTTTATACTAATAAAACTCTTCTTAAATAAGTCTAACATAATCTCAATCCTTTGTTTGGCACTGCATTTGATCATTAAATGAAGTTCATGGGAAAAGAAAGAAAAGGAAAAATCGTTTTCTCAATTATATATATTTTGCGAAAATATGTTTACATAAAACTTTGTATCTTTCATGTATCTTTAGACTTAGAATTCATTGTATCGTTAGTTGGAAATTGTACATAAAATCAATGTCGCGAAGTTTAAAAGTGGGATTTGTAAAACATTACTCGAGCTTAGAATTGACTTCTTTTGGTGTATGGGGCAATACAAAACAACAAACAAGACATCTTATACGCTCATTTTCTATTATATCCAATGTTGTTGAGTCTAACATATTCAACAAGGCATTCATCTTGTAAATTTCTTATATCATGAGAATGTATATATTAATTTCATATGAAAAAAGGATAAAACATGTGCATATTTAG